CACCCAGAGATTATTTTCCCATATCAGCTGTTATACTTATTCCCAACATCTGACTTAGTTGCATTGATTGGTTAAAGCCTATTGATCTAGAGAAAAAACTTTAGGTTTCTCTAGGCTAATTTTATGTCCCGACATTGCACAAAATTTTATCATTATTTCTCTCATGACTTCAGTTTGCTCACTCGTCACTTCTCCAAAAAGCAAGAGATCATCTGTAAAGAAGAGGTGAGTGATGGTCGGTCCATGCATACCCATCTTCAATCCTTTCCACCTACCTTCCTCCAATTCATGTTTAATCATTTGACCTAACCTTTCCATACAAGAACAAAGTGATATGGACTTAATGAATCTCCCTGTCTAACTCCTCTTGTTGGTTGAAAAGTATGAGATGCCTTCCCATTCCATAGAACTTGCATGGAAGTTGTAGAGGCACATGTCATGATCAAATTGACCAAGTCCCGATTGAGTCCAATACTGTCAAGAGGATTTCAAAGAAAACCCTAGTTTAATCTATCATAAGCTTTTTTCATATCAACCTTTATTGCTACAAACTCCTTTCTTGCTCTTCGAATTCTCATTATATGGATTGCTTTCTGGGCAATAATCACATTATCACAACTATGTCTTCCAGCAATGAAACTGTATTACTTGGGCTGAATTAAGTGGTTTATCACTCCCTTCATTTTACTTGCTATAATCTTGGTAATGATCTTGAAAACTACATTACATAAAGATATAGGTCTAAAGTCCTTCATATTCTAGGGATGATCTACTTTGGGTATGAGCACTATATTGGTATGATTAATCTCCCTAATTCTATTCAGATTACTCCAAAGGTGTTGAATATAATTACATAATTTCTCACCCACCTGATTCCATTGTGTTTGAAAGAAGTGAGCCTGTAGACCATCCAATCCTGGAGCTTTGAGAGCACCCATTGCAAAGGCCGCATTTTTTATTTCCACATTTGTAACCTCTCTATGAAGATTATCAAGATCTCTTTATGACATCGGCGGGAAAGACCGGACTTCATTGTATTGCTCCTACATAAGATGATCTTTGGAGTAGAATTTTTCAAAGAACTCCCCTACCAAGCTCCTTAACTCGCTCTGATTATGCACCCAATTCCCTACCCATCTTTGAGAGCCTCCACCATTTGTTTCTTCCTTCTCATCATAGTAGAGACATGAAAAAAGCAAGTGTTTCTATCACCCCATCAGAGCCATTTACATCTTGATTTTTGGTACCAGATAAGCTCTTCCAGAGCAACCAATTTATTATAATCCTTCCCCAGCTGTTTTTCCAACTTGTAAAGGCCTATTGCAACTTTATTTCTTCTTGCTTGGTCAATCCCCTCAAGCCTCCTGATCAACATTCTCTTCTTCTTAAAAATATCTCCAACCACATTGTAACACCTCACATAACTATGTCTTCCAGCAATGAAACTGTATTACTTGGGCTGAATTAAGTGGTTTATCACTCCCTTCATTTTACTTGCTATAATCTTGGTAATGATCTTGAAAACTACATTACATAAAGATATAGGTCTAAAGTCCTTCATATTCTAGGGATGATCTACTTTGGGTATGAGCACTATATTGGTATGATTAATCTCCCTAATTCTATTCAGATTACTCCAAAGGTGTTGAATATAATTACATAATTTCTCACCCACCTGATTCCATTGTGTTTGAAAGAAGTGAGCCTGTAGACCATCCAATCCTGGAGCTTTGAGAGCACCCATTGCAAAGGCCGCATTTTTTATTTCCACATTTGTAACCTCTCTATGAAGATTATCAAGATCTCTTTATGACATCGGCGGGAAAGACCGGACTTCATTGTATTGCTCCTACATAAGATGATCTTTGGAGTAGAATTTTTCAAAGAACTCCCCTACCAAGCTCCTTAACTCGCTCTGATTATGCACCCAATTCCCTACCCATCTTTGAGAGCCTCCACCATTTGTTTCTTCCTTCTCATCATAGTAGAGACATGAAAAAAGCAAGTGTTTCTATCACCCCATCAGAGCCATTTACATCTTGATTTTTGGTACCAGATAAGCTCTTCCAGAGCAACCAATTTATTATAATCCTTCCCCAGCTGTTTTTCCAACTTGTAAAGGCCTATTGCAACTTTATTTCTTCTTGCTTGGTCAATCCCCTCAAGCCTCCTGATCAACATTCTCTTCTTCTTAAAAATATCTCCAACCACATTGTAACACCTCACATAATTATATCCATATACCTGATAAAATATTTCATATTGTAGGAAATAGAATAAAATGGAAAATAATTCTCTTGTATTTCATTGATCAGAATATACACATATATATACAAGTGAGAGGAGCCTCTGCATTAATGGCCCATTATGATAATATCATATCCTATCAAATCCTAATCATAATTACATAATATTTACATATCAAATCATATCATATCTCTACACTCCCCCTCAAGTTGGAGCATAAATGTTAAGCATGCCCAACTTGTCACACAGATAGTCAACACGAGTCCCATTTAGAGCTTTAGTGAGAAGGTCGCCTAATTGATCACTAGAACGCACATATCCAGTGGAGATGAAGTTCTCCTTAAGCTTGTCTCTGATAAAATGACAATCAATCTCAATATGTTTGGTACGTTCATGGAACACAGAATTGGAGGCTATATGTAGGGCAGCCTTATTGTCACACCACAACTTTGCTGGCAAAGTGGTTTTGAGGCCAACTTCCTTTAATAGCTGATATATCCAGATTATCTCACATACAGACTGTGCCATAGCTCGGTATTCTGCCTCTGCGCTCGATCTGGACACCACATTTTGTTTCTTGCTTTTCCAGGACACCAGATTCCCGCCCACAAAGACACAGTATCCTGTAGTAGACCGTCTCGTGGCCTTTGATCCACCATGATCTGCATCACAGAAGCACTCAATGTCTGTATGGCCATGATTTTTGTATAATATCCCACGACCTGGACATCCCTTCAAATAATGTAACACGTGCTCCAAGGCTTCCCACTGTCTGACAGTCGGGGATGCCATGAACTGGCTTAGTACACTGACTGGATAAGTAATATCCGGACGAGTTACAGTGAGATAGTTTAACTTGCCAATCATTCTCCTGTACCTCTCAGGATTCTCAAATGGTTTGCTCTTCTGAGCCTCAAGCATCCGTTTCTCATCATCAAGAGAATCATCGAGTGGTATGCTCCCATCAGCGTCAAGGAGTGGGTTGTGAACCATAGGAAACTTGGTCGGTGCTGCTCCCAACTTTCCAGTTTCCTTCAGGAGGTCAAGAACATATTTGCGCTGTGTCAGTAATATGCCCTTCTTGCTTCGCATAACTTCAATACCTAGAAAGTATGTCAGAGAGCCCAGATCCTTCGTCTGAAAGTGGGAATTAAGAAAGGACTTGAGGGACGAGATGCCCGAACCATTACTGCCTGTGATCACAATGTCATCTACATATACCACCAAGAGAATCATGCCAGCCGCTGTTCTTTGATAAAATACAGAATGATCGCACTTGCTTTGGCTCATGCCAAATTTCTGTACGACAGTACTGAACCGGTCAAACCATGCACGAGGGCTTTGCTTCAAACCATACAAGGACCTCTTAAGGCGACATACTTTCCCATGCTCCCCCTGAGCAACGAACCCAGGTGGTTGCTCCATATAGACCTCTTCATGAAGATCACCATGTAAGAATGCATTTTTAATGTCTAATTGATGTAGATCCCAATCATAAGTAGCAGCCAGAGAGATGAACAGACGGACAGATGAGAGCTTAGCAACAGGAGAAAAGGTTTCGGAATAGTCAATGCCATAGGTTTGTGCATAACCTTTAGCCACAAGGCGAGCCTTAAGGCGGTCAAGTGTGCCGTCAGCCTTAGTTTTCGGAGTTAACACCCATTTACATCCAATGGCCTTTTTACCCGCCGGTAAATCGACCAGGGTCCATGTACCAGCTCGATCAAGGGCCGCCATCTCCTCTTCCATTGCAGCACGCCAACCTGAGTGGGCCAAGGCTTCACGAATAGTTCTGGGCACAGAGATAGTATCTAGGGAGGCAACAAAGGAACTGGACACAGGAGACAAGCGGTCATATGAAACAAAGGACGAAATAGGATGGGCACAAGTACGTTTACCTTTGCGAAGGGCAATGGGTAGATCAAGAGAGGCATCCGGGTCTGGAACAGGAGGTGTCTCAGGATTAGGGTCAGAACGAGGTTCAGTGTTGCTCAACTCAGGATCTGAGGGCGAGGCGGACCAGGGAGGAATAGAAGCTGGCGTGGCGGTAGTAATCTCCGTTGACCGTTGTGTATACACACGATCAAAGGGTTGAACGAGTGCGGGAGCGGGTGCTTGCGACGACAGTGATGGTGAGGTGACAGAGTATATTAGAAGGTCATCCTCCTCCGCAGGTGGAGCAGGTGGGGAAGAATGCGAGAAATATGGTGTGGACTCCTGAAAGGTGACATCTGCAGATACTAAATAACGATTGAGAGTAGGTGAGAAACAACGATAACCTTTTTGGACCCGAGAGTATCCAAGGAAGACACATTTAAGAGACTTTGGGTCTAACTTTGAAATAGATGGCCGTACATCCCGCACAAAACAGACACACCCAAATATCTTAGGAGCAATAGGGAACAAAGGCTTAGAAGGAAAGAGGGTAGAAAAAGGAGAGTTACCATCAAGAACAGAGGAAGGCATTCGGTTAATAAGGAAGCAGGCAGTGGAGACCGCGTCAGCCCAAAATGGTTTAGGAACCTGCATTTGAAACAAAAGTGCACGGGCCACCTCAAGTAGGTGGCGATTTTTTCTTTCTGCAACACCATTTTGAGCTGGTGTATCGACACAAGACGACTGATGAAGTATACCATTTTGAAGCATGTAAGATTGGAACGAAGCAGAGAGATATTCTTTAGCATTATCACTTCGTAAGGTGCGAATAGAAACATTAAATTGAGTTTTAATCTCAGCACAAAAGGCACAAAAATGGGAAAACAATTCAGAACGATGTTTCATTAAATATAACCAAGTTGTCCGGGAATAATCATCAACAAATGTAACAAAGTATTTAAACCCTGCTTTGGACTCTACAGGACAAGGACCCCAAACATCAGAATGGACTAACTCAAAAGGGGATGAAACCCGTTTATTGACACGAGACACTAAAGGAAGACGATGATGCTTGGCAAACTGACATGACTCACAATCTAAAGACGACAAATGCTGAAATTGAGGATAAACTTTCTTAAGAGAAGATAAAGACAAATGACCCAATCGACAATGAACTTCAAAGGGAGAATGACTGCTAGCGCAAGCTACCGCATGAGACACCCGATCATCCAGTATATAGTGCCCGCCAGATTCATAACCTCTACCAATAATCCGCCTCGTCAAAAGATCCTGTATCAAGCAATGAGAAGGAAAAAGTGAGACCCAACAGTTTAGTTGACGGGTGAGTTTACTGGGAGATAGGAGATTAAAAGCAAGTTTAGGAACATTTAGCACAGATGACAAACGGATAGAGGGTGTGGGATTAACAGTGCCAGAACCGAGAACTTGAGACTGGGAACCATCAGCGATGGAAACACTTGACGGATTGGCAAAAGCATTATAAGAGGAGAAGAGATGGCTGTTACCTGTCATATGATCAGTAGCCCCGGAATCTATGATCCACTTTGAGGAAGAAGAAGCAAGGGCAGTAGCATTATTACCTGTTGTAGCTGCGGCACTCACAGACGGTGTAGTAGATTTTAACTGGGCATACTCAGCAGCAGAAATCGTGACTGTGTCACTGGCTTGTGTAGCCACGTGGGCAGAGTTATTCCGTTGCTGTTTATTCTGAAGTTTTCGACATGTGCGTTTTGTATGCCCCGGTTCTTTGCAGTAATAACACACTACCCCACTGGAGTCAGAAGGGGCTCCCCCTTGCTTCGAACCACCACGGGTAGGCCCCCCGCGGTTATCAATAGGACTACGAGTCTCATAGGTGCCCTTACTGAGCAAGGCACTTGTAGGAATACTAGCAGCTGGTGGCAAGAGATTCTCAGCTCTCATTACTCTGGAAAACACATCTTGAAGGTCAGAAATTCAGATCCGGATAAGATTTGAGACCGAACTGTGTCGTACTCAGGTGGGAGACCAGTAAGAAAGCTCATAATAGCCATTTGCTCCCGTTGCTTATGCTGAACCTTCAAATCAGCAGTAAGAGGCATTAACACATTCAGTTCTTCATACATCCTTTTAAAGTCCATAAAGTAGGCTTTGAGAGGACGATCCTGTTTTTCAGAACGATAGAAAGCTTTGCAGACCTCGTAAACACGAGAGATATTTCCTTTTCCTGAATACAAAAAATCTAAATAATCCATTAGTTCCTTAACCAATTCACAGTGATTAATAGAGGGAATAATCTCACTGTCAATGGAATTACGGATCTGGAAAAATAGCCGTGCATCATCCCGCAACCAGGTCTTTTTGGAATCAGTTGTTGGAGGATCATCAGTCAGATGGTCTTCCTTCTCAATGCTCCGCAGATAGAGGCGAATGGTTTTACTCCAATCCAAATAATTTACCCAAGTCAACTTGTGATCAGTAATTTTAGTAATAGTTGGGACAAGCTCCGAGACAGATTTAATTTCCGCCATAGATGAAGTGCACTAACCAAAGGGAATGCGAAAGAGTGTTACACAGGAATACAAAGCACGATACCTGGATTACCTAATGAATACCAAGGCAGTGAAAAGGCCAACAGCTACACAGGGAGCTGCAAACAGAACTGAATTGCACAAACAGCGTGCCGGAGATGCGCCAGAAACGAAACAGAACGCCAGAAAGTAATAAACCGTACGGACTGTACGGACGCCGAGTGAACAGTGCAGAGCGCACGGACGCCGCCGGAAAGTCGATGAACAGTGCAGGCGTACGGACTGTACGGACGCCGAGTGAACAGTGCGGCGGCGGTACTGTAGCAACCGAAAATTAACACCTAGAGAGAAAATTCCCACGCTCTGATACCATGTAGGAAATAGAATAAAATGGAAAATAATTCTCTTGTATTTCATTGATCAGAATATACACATATATATACAAGTGAGAGGAGCCTCTGCATTAATGGCCCATTATGATAATATCATATCCTATCAAATCCTAATCATAATTACATAATATTTACATATCAAATCATATCATATCATATCTCTACACATAGAAAAAATTCATTGACATACATACTACAACAAAGCAAGTGTCATTAATTTCAGCCCAAAATTTTTTGACCCATACAACCACCAAATAAAACTATAAAGTCTTATATCCATGGAAAATAAAAATATAATATAGCATGTGCTTGAGGAGCACAAAAGCCTTCACGGCTCACTCTATTGATACCACTCTCTTGATTCCTATTAGACCTTCGCTTGATAATTGTTAATATAGGGGGTGAGATTCAACGTCGGTCAGTAATTACTGAAATTCTAGCATCTACAAGCAAACCATATATGATAAACCAAAAATCTTTTATATTGTGTATAATAAAAATCACGGATTTGATACATTCAACTCAATTTCATTTTGATTCAACAATATACCAACACATTTTTTCATTATATAAAAAAAAAATAATGCAATATGCTGCCTCCCTTTATCACCGTCCACTCTTATACCCACTAACAGAGCCATAGGTAAACACATAGTCCGAGAAGAATTAATCCATTTTATTGAATTATTCCAAACTCACCGAACTAGAGATATATCCGGCCAAAGATATAGACCTCAAGTTCGAACTATGGCTCCCCTCCTTTACAAATAAAAATAAGGGGGTGTCACATGTCCCGGCAGCTCAAAGAATTCCCGACCAAAGGAAAACATGGAAGAATGGGCTCTGACAAGTGCCATCCACTGTTCATCGAGGGATGGCATATCACGTGATAATTTATATCCATACAATCTCTTTCTATCCTTAGCCCAACAATGCATATGTTAGATGCAAATAATGTTGCATCATAAATACGTCCTCAAGTATATTATTAAAAATAAGATAATTAAAATTTCTGTACTATTTAATAACAACTCATGCTAATTCCATGGATATCAATATATTTAAATACTGATCATAATTAATAGCAATAAATCTTAACAAAAGCAAGTAACATATCAAAACATTTATTTGAAAAATCATAATATTATATTTTAGTAACATAAAAATTAGTAAATTCATAATATAATCATACACAATTCACATGTACAAGAAAGAATTTTTAAAGTTATCTACTACTCTAGCTTACAAATATTCACAAAGATTACTCCAAAATTATCAAGAGTCTACAAAATTGCATATAAGTATTTATTAATATAAATTCAAAACTACTCCAAAACTACTCTAAAATTCTAAGACTATCCTCTAAACTAAAATTACATAAATATATTAGCTCTCTCAAATTTTTCTATTTATAGTAAATATAATATTATTTTGACAATAAAATTTTTATAAAACTATTTAAATTTAATAACTTAATTAAATATATCTTTATTACCCAATATATATAAATAGTTTATATTAAAATTCTCAATTTTTTATTATAATCTTATTTAAAAATTTTTCTCAAACCAAACAATTTTTTTAAATTATAAACAAACGGTAACTTTATTTAATTTCACAAAATTCTCAATTTACAATTTTTCAAGCTTTCAAAAATTATTTCAAAAATATATCTTTAACTTACTTAATATTTAAACCGATTAAAACCTCAATAATATGTTAAATAACTCAAATAAATTATTTAACTTAAATTTAATAGGTAAAAATGTTCTATATCTTCTAATAACAAATTTTTCAACTAAAATCTCAATTTAAAATTCTCAAAATAGTCATTGAGTAAATATAAACCGATTGAAATTTCTTAATAATGTATCTTTAAATTTCTACAGTCATACATTATCAAGTCTCCATATTTACTCTATACAAAAATAGTATAATTTTCTCTAAACATTATAGTGATACTAATAATATAAATCTATAAATATATAGAAAATATTCATTAAAAAATTTGATAAAAAGAAGTATATTTGTGTACCTATATGATCATCAAATCTTTCCTTATCCTCCAGACAATATGTACTTCCACTCTCTCTCTCTCTCTTCTCTCTTCTCTCGCTCTCTCTTTCTCTCCCACTCTCTCTTGCTCTAGCTTGAAAGAAATAACCGAATGATGATATAAATATATATATATATATGTAATACCCTCACATTTAATTTTTCAGCACCCATCTCCCATTTTCCACTCCCATCCGTACCTTCCCCCTCTCTTTTCTTCCATCATTTACTACTCCCCCGCCCTCCAAAATTCTCCTTTCATTTAATACAACCCCCCAAAAAATTCTTCTCTTAGTCATTGCCCCCAACTTTTCAGGTGGAAAGTTGTGTTTTTCTTAATAACTTAATAATAAATCATTATTTTATTTAATTTGATAATTATTTATATATATATATATTTGTATGTTACGCACGTCATCATTCCACCTGAAGAGAGTATCTTTGGATCTTGATGTTAAGTAGTACTCTTAATCTTATCAATATTTATGCGAATATATATACTACCTTCGGTTTTTAATATAAGAACTCGTTTAATTTTATTTTGGTCATAAATATAAACCCCATTCTATTTTGTCTATCATATTTATCCATTTTTTTTTCAAGATAATCCTTGTAGTAATGATAGTTCTAGTCAATACACTTGATTAGCAAAGATATTTTAGGAAAAATAACACCTATCTATTACAAATAACTAACTTAACTAGTTTTCTTAATCTATCTAAATTAGTCAATTAGTTCTTATATTAAGGATGGAGGTAGTATATATTAAAGTTCCGTTACAATTTATTCAACGGTAATAAATTCAAGTGAGTCAGTGTTTGTTCATTCTATTCAAGCAAAGGCGTGATTCAAATACATCGTCATGGCTTGACCAGATTGGATTCAAATTGATTGGAGCCTAATAATGTGCTTTCTTGAAACAAAAAAGCAAAAAGTTTATTTCCCACGCAATTCAAGCCCATAGCCCTATCCTTGCCGATCGCATACACTATCCTCTAGCTCCAGTTATCAATATCCATAGAATATATACGTGCATGTAGATAAACCAAAGTCTATTTCCAATAATTAAAAGGACTGATTGCTGCAAGCTAGACTCTTAATCCTATTGTTACTATCGAAATTCTTTGGTCAAAATTTCATATTATTATATAGCAATTATGCTACAGTATGTCCATGTAAATTTATGAATTTCACGACAAGATTCATTCCAATATTATAATGCAGCGTTAGACCCCTCTGTTCCAAACTTCCTCCTTCACTCAGCACTACTTTAGAATCAAACAACTAATACACACACAACACACACACACACACACACACACACATATTTATAGAGCTCTTATCGTGTGAGGTAATATTAAATATTACTCTATAGGAAACTTCTGCAAATTCTCTAGCTAGGCATGTATGACCCAAGAACGGGTAAATTGCTGGATCATGCGACTAGGTTAAAATAACATATCTTCTGTATTTTCCAATATTCACCAATATAATAAAGGAAAATAATTATATAAAGTTACTTATATCAATCATATCAAGTTTTCCAATCACACATAATTATATATTTTATATTTTTCATATGTAAGTTTATTATTAAATATTAATATTTTAAAAATAGATTACATATATGTGTGTGATTGCAGAACTTAACACAAGGGATATAAAAAAACTTCATGTTAAGTATTATTGAATGATGAATAGTGTTAATCAGCTTTAGTAATTAGACCACTATGCTAATTCAATGCTTTTCATTGTCCTTGCAATTTCTACTATCATGTTAAACATTTGGCCAATCATGAGCCCTCTTTGTGCTTTATGTTTTGTGATTGTCATATAATCTATTTTTGAATCATATGTCCTTAATTTGTCCTACAAGAATTGCTTACTACTACTTCTGATCTTTGATATAAGACCTAATAGACTAATTTGAAAAAATTAAAAAAATAGTTAAGCTATTTATTTATAATAAATAGGTATTGTCTTTTTTTTAAATACTTTTACTAATTATGTGTATTAGCTAAAACTATTATTTGATGGAGTCTTTAACATGTGTAACTACTACAAGAATTATTTTTGAAAAAAATTGATAAATATACCATCTCAGGTTTTAATTATAAGACCCTATTTATAGACTATAAATGAGGTCTTCTAATAAAGATCGGAGGTAATAAAAGACAAAGTAGATTAATATCTTATATTTAGAATCAAATTAAAAGTTAAACTAGCTTTTATATTAAAGATTGGATGTAGTAATTATCTAACTATATGCATGAGATTAATTATGTTAATACACTTCTCACAATAATATAATAGACAATACTTTTAAAAGCATAGGCAAGGTAGTATTATGCTGGTCAACTTCAATCACAAACTACCACACAATCGAAACATAAATAAGACAACTTCTGAATGAAACAGAACATCCTACGAATAGCTATCCATTACTCTACATCCTCGTATGCAAATATTTTAGGAAGAATTATAATCAAGTCCCATACAAGAGAAATAACTACTAAAAGGTTCAACAACAATCTGAGCAGCCTGTAATGACAAGTTCTAGAGTAGAAAATAATAACTTTGGGACTTGTTTTATAATTTTTTTTTTGTATGGGACCTCATAGTAATTCTTCCAATATTTTATGTATGTTGACGTATATCATTATGTTTTTACGTATCAAGTTATTGAGTAATACTTTCGGTTGGCTGTTTGCCAGACAAGACTGAGAATCTTTATGTACCTTCCATACAATAAAGTTTAATTAATATGGGAAGCAAATTAACATTACATGCAT